CTCAGCCCTGCAGTGCCTCACATGATAAAGACATAGTAGCCAAAGCAAAGTTTTACTCAAAAGCAGCTCCAGTTTTTCACACTGAATTGCCCAAAAAATTTCATATTAGCTCCTTGTAAAAGACACTGTAAACAGCTCACTGACCTGCCTCCTGTATGTGGAGTTTTGCTCAGATGTAAACCAGTGCTCCAGTGCCAGGAGGTTAAAAAACTTTGCCTGTGAAGGCAAAAAACTGTTCATTGTGCAGGTATGAGCACAGCTGCTCTGTGATGAAGACTTGTATTTCATGCTGTTTTTCTGGCCACAGCTGCACTTGAGCAGAAATCAAGATATCTCTTAGGGTAAAAGGCTATTAAAAAAAGGAACTTATTTAGAAGCTGTCTACAGTATCTAAAGGGGTGCTGCACATCCATGTACATCAGAATCCTCTGATTTTGAGAGTATTATCTTAACATCCCTAAGGATCAACCAGTATTGCCAACTCCCATGGGTTATCTGCTGGACAAGATATGTTGAAGCCCAGTGATCTTTGGGAACAAGCACAAAGTCATGGGAAGAGTTTTCCGACCAGTCAAAGGATGATCCATTCTGGCAGTGTGCCAAGGCTCCCCCTGGGGATTTTGCCCAGTAGTTTGGCTACACATCATCTTCAAAATAAAGGGGGCAAAGGGGGGAATGGAAGGAAGCCAAATGCTCAGTCTCAGCAGGCAGCCATTCCTCTCAACCCACTACTGGGATTTTGGAGAAGGAACACACCCAAGGGACCTGCTGCTCTTATCTCTGAAGTAAATATGGGGGCAGAAAGACTGTAATCCTCTCATGCCAATCAATCCAGTTTCCAGCAGGGTAGAGGAATTTCATATGGAGACCTCCTTTGAGGACAGCTGGGTCACTTGCTGTTTCCCCCCTCCTTCTGGGAAGCTGCTGCTTATCATTTTGGGGGGAACAGTAGGGCAAAGCTCAGCACATCAAATGCATCATGCATGCCACTGAGACCCTGGCAAAGCTCATTCTTCTTTTGCCAAGCACAGTTTAGACCATCCCTTTCTCCTTATGTCTCCACTGCATCCTAAAAGGGGCATCAGTTGGCAAGTTCAACAGCTGGAGACCTTACTTGATCACCTCCTGATGACTTCTGATCATGGAAAACCCCAATTTTTCACAGCCAACTACACAAGCTAAAAGATCTATTTTCAGCACTGTCCCCATTTCTGTAGAGATCCATCTCCATCCTCACATACGCCTGGTTTTCAACCACTCAGGTCATCTTCTCCATTTCCTCACACAGCTAAGAGCAAGCCTACTGTAGGAAGGCTGGACATTCCTTCTTGTTCCCTTCTCTAGCAAAGGAGAGCTGCTAGTATTTGTGATTTATTAAATGCAAATATTGCCCTTTCTCAGTGAATTAAGGAATTATGAGCCACAAAAGACAGCTATAAAATCATGTTAAAGAAAGCGAACAAATTTAGGCAACAGCCCAACCTAGAGAGGTGCTTCCCATTGGAGGTGGGATGCCAAAAAACTCAGAACCAAGCCTGGAGCTCTGCTCAGACTGAGGAAGGGACTTGTGGAAGGGGCAGATACACATACCTGGGAGTGGAGAAATGTGCATGATACTCTCCAGCTTTTTCAGTGTCAAAAAAAAAAAATTAAGAAAAAGAAAAAAGGATCCTTTGGAGCAGGAGGTGGATAGGTAGAGCATGGTGGTCCAAGTCAGCTTCCAGTTTAGAAACAAGTGTAAAGCATTTCAATGTTTCTGATGATCACAGACTTTTCAACTTGTCACCTGAATCCTTCCGTTCCAACACTGGATGTGTCTGTCCTTGAATGTTAACAGGGAGCAGAGGGAGTTGCTCCAGGAGACATTTGTAGAAGTTACCTCACTGCAATCTCCTTCATGCCATTTTCTATTTGCATATTTGAAAGCAAGCTGTGTTCCTCTGAGGACAAAAAATATTTGCAGCAAAACTGTGCCCTATTGCAAAGGAGTTGCACGCAGGAGATGGTGTGGCCACAAGACTGTCCCACATCTCCAGTACTTTCCATCCCATAATCCAAGGTGGAAGGCTAGCATGAGCTTCCTACTTGTGGGAGAAGTGACAAACCCTAAGCAGCAGAGGTATTTAATTTTAAAGCAATGTGCAACACTTAAAGCCCACAGACACTTCCAGCCATTTTTTATCTCCTTTCAGCAGGCATGTTCTAGTTCTTTGCATTAGAAACTCTGCAATTACTTCAATCTGGTTGCGGGATTATCCATCCTGTTCATGCTGAAACCTCTCTCTTACATGCACTCTTGAACACTCACACACACATGCACACATATCCTAAGGGAAGGGAAGGAGTTTGAAAAAGCCACTTTCTTCTGACATTGGGAGATCTACTTACCAGATTGCTCCTCCCTGGGTGCACAATAAACACCACCAAATGTCAGGCTGTGGCAGTTTCAAGTTCAAGTTAGATCAGTTAGCTTCAGTTTCCTTCTTAGTTATCAGAAAATTTGTACAACTCGGGGAGTGGGGTAGGAATCCTTACCCTTCTGCAGTCCTATTTGAAGTACCTACACACAGTCCCTTCCTGAGGGTGACACACCTTTCTTACCATGTGCCAAAAATGGATTCCAGCAGTTGCTTGCTAAATGTACCTTAAAGAGCTCTATACAGCAGAGTATGGTACCACTTGAAGACCCAACAGAATAGCAGCATAGAGCAGCAGGGCTATGACAACCAAGGACAATTTGCAGTGGTGGTGTCTCTTCTGTTTGGCCTGCCAGTTTTCCCAAATTCTCTCAACCAGCAAAAATACAACACATCCTTGAAGGTGTTGGCCAAAAGATGTAATTAAAATATTATGAAGTTCTGCAGCCTTCAGCAGCTGGAGTAACAGATCATTGTTTTCTACAGTAACAGAAATGGAAAAGACGGAGCATGACAAAACTGAGGAAAATAATTAATAAATCTTAACCCATGATCATGTAAACCCCTGCTGATATGCAGCCATGCTGCAGACCTTGTAATGCCTGAACTTAGAGGGACTCTTAAAATAGTATTAAGACTTAGAACTTGAATTCAACGAAGTTTGGGATGTGAACTTTGATTCTCTCCGCTCCCTTGCCACTTTGGCTTTGGGACTGCAGTATTCATCATATATAGAGCTGCCTGAAAGCAAAAACAACCTTCCTGGACTTAAAATTAGTTGTGGATAAACATTGTGACTCGGAACTTATTTATGACTCTGCAGAGGTAAGTCACTGTTGCTGATACCTGAACAGAGTTGTTAACCTGTTAGACTTTTTACAGTAATAGTTGGAACAGAAAAGAGGAGTGTCATCACATGCTCCGAGATGCTTGACACTGCTGCCCACATGCTTCAGGAAATGCACTAGGTACTACTACCCAAGAACCAGCTTTGCCCTCCTCTCTAACTCCATTGCCTTCTCATCTGTCCTAGCTAGCACCTAAATTATTCAAGCCCTCTGGACTGCTCTCTGGGGACTCTTGGACCAGCTCCTTGCTAGATTTCGCTGGTGGAAAAAGCACATCCCAAGCAATTAGAAACAATGCAGCAGCTTCCCCAGCAAAGTGAAGTTGATGAGAAAAGCTTATTCAAAAAATCCTATCTGCCAAGTTCAGAGGGTTAACAAAGTTAACAAAGCCAGTTAGCAGGCAGCCCTCCAGCCCAGAGACAAAGGACTTCAATTTCCTACTGTGGGATTAGAGCAACTCCCCACTAAAACAATGGAGATTCTTCCAGACCTACAGAAGAAGATCTGGGCCTAAACATGGAACGGCCAGAAACTGATCTACAGAGTCATTTCAGATCCAAATGCAGGCCAGCTGCAATTTGTTCCAGCTCTGTGAAGAGAGCTGTTTACCCCCAGACCTCTGTCTAGCTCAGAGACATGCAGAATTGTTTCTCATGTACCTACTCTTCAGGGCTATTTTTGTCTTCTAAACAATGACAATTTGCAGAAGTCTCAGCCAGAAAACAAAGACCCATCTCAGCTATCAGCAAAAGGACTAATCAGCCTGTGTCCCTAAACTGCAATGCAGTACACAGGTTACAGAAGCAGACCAAAAAACTCTTCAAGCAAAGCCAGTCACAGAAACGTTGCAGAACTGGCCTGAAGTCATTGCTAAACCCAATGATTGTCCTCATGGCCAACTCATTTTACTCAACCACCATCTCCAGGGTGTGCATTTGACCATTCAAGTGAGGCAAAGTCTTATAGTCATGGCCAGAATGTTTGTGTAGTGTGCCCACTCTAGGGTGGCTCTTGAGAGCTCCATGAAATTTTTAACAGCTCCCTCTTCCAGTACCCATCTACAGCCTCTCTGAGGGAGAAGGAATGGAATTAGATAGGAGCAATGTCCAGCTTTCCTTCTCAGCCCAGCCTCAAACTTTCTCCAATTTACAGAATGATTCATAAGCCATCAGAAACATACTGTCTTCAGGGAGAACAGCAGTAGGAAGATGGTACAGACAATCCCTTTGCTAGTGAAATACTGTCCTGGGCCAACAGTTCACCTGGGGTGGGAGTGGACAGGATCTCAGTCCCAGTCCATCATGCGTGGGACTTTGGCAGGAGAGAATTTAACTTTTCTTTGACTAGCATTCCCCAGCAAAGCTGATGTTAAAGGGAGACTACAATACACATCCAGCTTCCAAAGGGTTAGCATAGCAGGCAGGAGAGGAAAAAGATGGATTTGGCTCATAATAGTCAAATTTCAAGGGTCCTCTCTCCACAAAAAATAAGTCTGCAGTCAGAACAGCCAAAAGCCGCAGGGAAGCTGGGGTTAGGGGGATGATGGTCTGGCTGTTTTAAGTGTTTCTGCTGCTCTTCAGAGCTGAATGCTTTTTCAAAGGCCTAGCAATGGATATTGATCTCAGCCTGAGAGTAGCAGCCTCCCCACCCACCCACCCACCCTCCCACCCACCCTGAAGTGACTCTCAGCAGGATGCACTGTAAGTCTTCCGCTTAACAGCAAAGCAACACATTCTGGCGACATCTTAAATATATTCATAGGACATTGGTGACTGGGCTTGGAGGGGAATCAAATGGGGTAAAGGGAAGAGTGAACATGAAGACGGGAATGAAGGAAGAAAGGGATGGGAAGGTTTAAAAATGTTAACTGTTCATTAAAGATAAAAGTCATCTTCTGATATAGCAGCACTTTAGCAGTCAGCCGCGCTGAGTAGACCCTGTCTGAGATCAACCGCATGCCAACTTTGTTCCAGAAACAAGTCTGAGAGCCTCTCTCTTCAGCAAGTATTGGTTACGTGGATAGTTCTTTTGTCCTGGCATTTAAATACTGCAGCTTAAATGAGTCCTGGGAACAAAAAAACAGAACAAACCAAACAAACCCCATTCGTACTAAGCCTTTTAATGATTTAAAATAACATCTGATTGACCAGAGAGTTTGAGAAAATCAAGATCTGACAGGTCCAGAGCATCACTGTACAGTTACCAAACAGGATACAGGATATGCCCCACAACAGAGCACTTTCATGGGAAAATGTCACTGTGGACACCCCTTTGCAGGAGCCTGTCAGCTCTTCTGCATTCTTCTCTCTTATGTTTACTGCTATTAGCAGTAATTGTGCATGTACCCACCCACACAGGCAATCGTGTTATGCCACTTCACCCATATGCATCAAATTCACTCTACAGATGACCCAAACATATGAAACATTTTGTACTCCCCACACTGTGCTGGCCAAGACAAAAGGTGATGAGCAAACCAACCAGGCTCTGATATGAATAATTTAACATCCATGCTATGCCAGAGAGAACAAGGGCTAGGCCCTATCCGTAAATCATTTTGCACATTGATACATCTTGATTTAATTTGCCTGGGCTTGTGCTTGTGCCTCAGTGTCTCCTCCCCTAGCCAAACTGTAATCTTCAATCAGCTTGCTGCAGAGTGAGGAGAATGGTCATCCCTTCAGAGGGAGGTTCTTGGCAAAACTCTCTTGCCTGGTGACAACTGCCCAGGGTCAGGCCATCTGCATCCTCTTGTTAGGCAGCAGCTGCTATACTCGCTCTGCAGAAACCCTTCTTCCTTCTGGACAGCAGTATAACTGATTTAATTATTGATGATGATGGACAGAGGAGGAGAAGTTCTTCAGGGGAAGTCACAGGCACCACATGTCACAAATCCAAAAATAATATCCCTATTCTAAGGTACCAGAACCATTCCTGTGCTTTTACAAGACACTGTAATTACTGCATAACCAAGATAACAAACATTGATAGACCTAGCCAGTTATTCAAACAGCAGGCTCACACTACATCCAGTGTCACCTTTGAGTCTCACCTTATTTTTAAAGATTTTTTTTTTTTTTTTACCTGTGCGAGTGTGAGGTACAGTGTAGTGTTATTTATCTGGAGATGTAGGTGTATGTTCTGGACGGGGAACGAGTGGATTCTGCCTGGGCAGCTGGGTCATTCAGAAAATCCCAGATGAGGATGGTGTCATCATGTGAGCTGCTGACGATCTGGAACTCATCAAACTGAAGTCGAAAGACTCTTCCAGAATGCTCCTGAAATGCCAGTGGGAGACAGAGCATGTTACTTTGCAAACCAGCTGGCACCTGGGATGGAGTGGGGAAGATAAACTTGGGCTTGATTTTAGTTATATTAATTTGTCGGTAAACCCCAAGTGACACACTGTGCATCAGCATTAGAGAACATAAATTAAACCTTCTCTCAAGGAAAAGCGTTTGCCATATCTGAATACCTGACTTGCAGGAAGTTTATATTACAGTTGTCCCACTACTCCTTAAATCCCAATATTAGACACACACTGTACAGAATAAATCAAACTCCCTCCCCACATTATTCCATCTGGTGAAGCTGACAGGTGCACTGTCTTCCCTATTCCATGACAAAACTCCTTCCTGAAATTATAGCATTCTCAGGTACAGTAGGTTACAGGGTAAGAGATGAGAACTTTGCATTCAAGACTTGGCATCATTGCCACTGCTGAAGAGGGAACAGCTTAACACCGGAGGACGCTAAGGAGCCTGTTGTAAAGTCCAGAGACACAGCAGTAATTCCTCCTAAGCAGTTCTAAAAATATGATCTAGAAAGGGCATTCTTTACAGGCAGTTTCCATTCTGCTCTGAGGCTGAGTGGAAATGGCATGACGATTTGGCAAGAGTTCAGACCATAATTAACAGGAGGCAATGGCAAGATCCTGGATATCACAGAGCAGATCCACTCTGTTTTCCCTTATGTGTTGCCTATTTTCTCTTGGTGCTCATGACACTCCAAGAGCAGTGGCTTCCTCCTTGGTCATCAGGGAACAGAAACTGTGCAGTGATGGTGAGCCCTGTCTCTTCCATGAACACACATTTCTCTTTAGGGCTCACACATTGTTAGGGGCTTCTGAGGGTCAGGAAAAAAACATGTCTTTAAAATATTTTAATACAGAAACTACAGGTTTCTCAAGCATACAGGCAAAAGAGAATTGCTAGTTACTAAAGGGGAAGTCTTTATCTTATAGCACAAGACTACAAAAATACAGCCCAGTTTACAAAGAACAACAGGTGCTTTAAAGTGAATTTCTGCATCTTTACATCAAAATTATCTAAAAATAAATGCAAATGTAAGCCAGATTCTAAGACAGAGTTTTAGAATTTCTAATCAATGGAGCCTTTTTGATCTTACAATTGTAACTTGAGTTTGTTTTATAAACACCTTATGAGTTTCTGTCTTCCCACCTATTCTTAAGGGAAGTGTTTTTCCAGATTTTGTGTTACAGCAGTAAAGAAGTTCTTCCAAAAAGTATCATTACAACAGTCAGATCCACTGATAGATTATTCACAGAGATGGTGGGGAGGAGAGAGAGACAGAGACAGAGAGAGAGAAAGAGAGAGAGATACTTTTAAAAGTTCTTTTCAAAACTCTCTTTTTGATCCCAGTCACTGTGGTCTAAATAAGGCTGCCCTACCTGGACTGTTTATGTCATAAGGAAAGCTGAACCTTGAGCTTATTCTATTCATGGAAAGCTTCTGTCAAATTCATGTGGCCACTGTTCCAGCTAACGGAAGACAAAACTGGAAGGGACCTGGCATGCAGTGAACATTTGTTATCTGTGCACTTTCCTCCTACTGTTTGAAAATTGAACACAAGCAGCAGGAGACTCATGATGTTCATTGTGCAGCCAGGTTTAATTTTGGAGGACGAGGGAAGAGGAAAAAAACACCAAAGCATGGGTAAGCGGGTATAAGGACACCCTGTTGTCATAAAAGTCCTAAAAGCACAGCAACAGCTTCCTTTGCTCCCCACCCTGCTTTTGGCCTCCTCCACTGCTATCAAACAGGGATTTATGAGTATCCATGTGTTGAGATTCCTACAGTGTTTCCATCCCACCGCTTCTGATTTATAATATAATTAGCTGGGGCACTTTGGCTGTCCACTGCTGGAAAATGTAGAGGAAATCACACCAGTTAAATTAAGGCTACAGGTTACCAGGCACACATTTGTCTCAGGCTGGAGCAGAAACATTACTAATACCAAGTTTTTAGTCTTAGACTCTTAGTCTTAGCTCATGGGCAGAGTTGTTCCATCGCTTGGAACTGGGTGACCAATGACAAAGGGCTTTTCTGTATTTCAGCCATGAAATTATTTGCACTTTTATTTGGCTAACAAGAAGGTTTTTCAACACAGTACCTATGGGCATCCAAAGCTCTCATGGACTCTGATCCTGTAGCTGATGGTCCAAATACATGACTGGAAAAGGGTAGCATGACTGAATGATCTTACTGCCTGTCAGCTGAGTCCCAGTAACCTCACAGCCTGCACCAAATGTGATGTAAAGTACTTCAGTGAAATCTACAACAGGAGCAATTCAGGTGGTTGATGAGTGTGCAGAAGGTCAGCCAGCACAGCTCAGCTGGTGACAAGTAACCACACTTTTAGAGAATCAGACAGCCTTGGTACGATCCTGTTTTAGAGCACAGACTACAGTCATGAGCCACAGCAGGAAAAGTTCTAACATATACCTATTGAAACACTGCCCAAACACTTTCAACCTAAGAAATAAAAACATATAATACTTATTTTTCAATGAGATTTTGGTACTGGTTGAAATCTTGCTTTATCCTCAGCAACAGTGCCATTTTTTTGGAGTTGAATGTGGTGGAGGAACGCCTATTAGAACTACCCCAAGGCCTTGGCTGTCCTGGCATTTTTCTCACAACTTTCCCACTTTATTCTAAGATTGAGCAGGGCCATTTTTAAACATGACTGTGAATGCTCTTAACACTCACATAATGACATTTTAACCACACCATCATTGACCTGCACTAGAAACCAGCAGACAGCATGAAAAGAGTAGTTGCTGTTTAAGCATAAGGTGATTTCACTATCTGTTTCTGTTGTGCTTTTTTCCTTAAGCACCCAAAAGGCAGTTAAAAACAATCCCAAGAGTGTTTTTGTTCCTGGGCCTCAAATTTGGAATGTACTATTTTTAAGAAGTTTCATGCCAACAATTCAGAGAACTTACTACTACATCATCAGATACACACAGATTAATGTAAATCCACTAGGCATATGGATTCCAAGGATGAGTTAAAAATGGATTCAGTTATTAACTTCAAATCACAGAATAAAACTGTTGAAAAGCCCAGAGTCGAGTGAAAAGATCAGAGATTCTAACTTTTAATGCTTGCAATTAATAGCTTGCAAAATTAGAAGAAGTTGGACACCCAAAAAAGGCAGACCCCTAGAAATTATTTCAAGATCTTGTAGACTGGGGCTAAACTGACTTGAGTTTTCACAGGTCAAGACAGCTCTGAACAAGCACACTTCTAACACCTCTATCTAAAGCTCTTACCACAAGGGTTCGCAAGCAGAGGGTCCCTGCTGGAGCACGGGGGTCCAAAGCAGCCACAAGATCCCATACTTTTATTTTCCTAGTGGTGAAAGAATAGACAAACACCATGGCTCTATTAAAGAGAAAAGAGCAAGCACTCACAGAAAAAAAAATAACTGTTAGTACAACTTAGCTAATACACCAGTGTAAGGAAAATTACAGCAATCCTTCTGCTCTTGAGACCTGGTTCTTGCATCTCCCCTTTGTAAAGCTTATAGAACTTAATGGGAGGTAAAAATATGCTGTCAATAAAGTAAAACACATAAAAAGCAGGTGGTAATAACTAACAGAAACACATGGGAGTGCAGACAACTAGTCTGTAATGGCAAATGGTCCTGCAGACAACCACAGATGGGAAAGATTGTTCTTAAAAGTGGCTGAGCAGGAAGAAGTTTCAGGCTGAGTCAGTCAGATATTTGTACCAAGCACAAGAACTGGACCACACACATCAAATCACATGGACTTATTTCAAAAGAATGAAAGCTATGCTCTGTAGCATGGTCCTCATTTACTGGCTATGAAAAGGTCCTCTCAGTATGAAAGAGAGTCTGATATTTATATGGGAGATGCACAAAGTGGGATGGGAGACACTGAGACAGACAGGAAGACACAAAGCGTTGACTGCACTGATAACCTCACCCATCATATGCCCCACTGACTATCCTCTTGTTATCAAAGCGTATGCATCTCACCAACTCTTCATGGCCTTCCAGTACTCGTAAACATGCCCCACACTCGATATCCCACAGCCTGGAAGAGAGTACAAAGAAGCATTAAGAATTTTTTAATACCTTAGCATTGCAGTGAAACATTTGGTCTTTGCTTGTAGTTAATGGAAACGTGGAAGTAAAGATTATGATGGAACAACAAAGAAGAAACAAACTACAATCATCACTCCTTTTCCCACAGTTATATGGATACATGATTTTCCACACGACCCTATGATGTTACAGTAACACATGGCAGATGAGTCACAAACCAGTTATGTCTAGTATCTACAGCTCTAGCAGCAAGGGCTATCTCCCAGTTATCTTCATAGTGAGACTCACTTCATTTTACTGAGGTTCATAGTTTGTAAAAGTGTTGTGCCTTGGTTTTAAGATATTAAGAGAGTGAGACTTACCAATCCCTTCAGCAGCTTGTTTCAATTTATATGATCACCTTCAGTGGGGCATGTGCCCCTTTCTGTTCCCCTACATGCCCATTTCTCATTTGGAGACTACCATCAGGCAAATTAAGTTATCAATATAATGGTGAGAGGTACAAGAATTAACAAGAACCTTTTCCTTTGTCATTTCTCTCCCTGAAGGTATGTTTCATCTGTAATCCAGGCACCTTATGCATAAACTAAAACGGATTATCTGCGTTTATTATTTTAAATGCATTTCTTTTCTTGCTCTCAAATAACTCCAGTGGCTCTATGTGAACTGTTTCTAATAATACAGCATTTTAAAAAAGTTCTGGCACCCAAACCAACATACAGTGAGAGGCCCAGCAACACATTATTCTCTCAAATGTAACTATCCCAGAGTTTCAGTTTTTGTGATGGGTTTTCAGCATGGAGAATAAATTAAAATACATAATTTTTGCACTTGCGCAATACCTTGAAAACCAGTTAAACGTTTCAAACAGTAATGAAATAAGTCAATTTGTTTTCCATACTTTTGCCAGCTCTTTGACATGACTCCCAATTACCGTGGATAAAAAGATTATTTGCCTACAAGAACTGAAATTCTTTGACATGTATTGTCTAGAGGTGTTCCATCTCTGGCTGAGACATGCTCTGCTCATACAGCAGTCTTGTAATAGCAGTATCTACTCTGACTCCCAGACACACAACAGAAAGAAAGCAGTCACAAATGTTCTCAAATGCTCATTCAGTAAGTGCTCTGACTGGCATGAACTTCACAGCAGTGAGAAATATGGGGGTTTGTGGAATTTCTCTGGGTGATACATCTTGAAGCAGTACAGCTGCTGAGAGGTCAGGTCACTTTTGCTTGAGAGACAAAAGAAAGAGATAAACCATCCCCATGTATTTTATTCCTGAGGTTCCCCAGGGAATAATCCAGATCCGGTTGATGTGTGCCCAAGGCTGGTGGATAATGACTGCAGCTGTCTTGCCACAACAAGCTGCTCTCACTTTGGACAACAGAGGAATGAACAGAACGCTTTTGTCACTGTAGAACTGAGAAAGGATAGGTCTATGCACATGTTTGAAGCCAACAAGGAGCTCAAAGTGATTCTTCAATCTGTGAAGTTGATCTTTCAGGAACCTGTGAAGGGCCCAACAGTTTTCACTTGAGTACAGCACACCAGTCAAGGTCAGAGCAAGCAACTCCATGACAAAGGTCAGCCAAAGGCACTCTGGCTGGTAGAGAGCATTATGTCTCTCAAGGACTGTAAACAGGACAGACAATGCCAGACATTAACTGGTGCAGAAAGGTCTGAAGAGCAATCTAGCGCCAGGAACTTTTGTGCCATGTGTTTCCATTCCTTGCCATTGATCCTGAAATTGCCAGCAGCTCTGGGAGGCTGCATCACACTAACTCAGGCCTATATTTTCAGGCCCCAGTCTGAGGTTTTACCTGGATGGGATTACAAGAGGTGATCATGTCCCCTGTCACAAGGCAAATGAGCTTTCATGTACAAAGGGGGTAACTACTATTAAGAGTAGTGTCTCTTAGAAGAGTTGGTGCCAAGGGTCCTTCTCATATTTGGTAAGTTTCTCTAACTTTTTGTTCTTTAAAAAATCAAAGAAACAAAACGTAAAAAAACTAAACTTAAGCCTTGAGAAGTAACTAAAAATAAAAAAAAATCACTACAATTGTGTACGCAGTTAAAAACATTACCACTGCTCTTTCCTATAACTTTGGGAGAACTCCTGGAAACAGAGGGAGGTCTGCAGTTATCTCAGCCTCTAATTCACTTGAAAGCTGAGAGGGGAGATGTACAGAAGGCAGGCGAGTCTGAATCCCCACCTCTTAGAGAGAATGCTGTTGTCTAAACAGATAGGCATCAGATCCCTATGTGTGCACACCCTAGAAATAGACACATGAAGACCAACCACCCATTAAAAACTGAACCCAAGATGATATAGTCTAATTTTATTTTCTTGCCCTGAATTCTCTGGTTGCTTTTTTTTTGTCTGTAGCAATTGGGAACTTTGGCCATAGAAGCTAAGATACTGAAGTGACTGGATTAAACAGTTTCTGCCAGATGGAAATTGGCACAATAATAGTGATGTCTATTTAGCTGTGTCCTCTTACACAGGTAAAATTTCTGGCCTAAATTGAAACCTAAATAATTTTTCTATGTCTCAGGTACTTCACATGTCCTTAACGTTTGCAGTTGCAAAACTAGAAATCACAAAGTCATCTTCTGGAAAAAAGTTTCCCTGCAACTGAGGAATAACAGGCTTTTAAGTTCTTAAGCCCAGTATACAACATCTGGTAGTGGATTAAAATCAAACCTACAAAGCACCAAGCCATCCACAAAGATGACTTAGGAATCTTTTTCTTAACTATCCTTCCACTGACTTGTGCCTCTGTTAATGGCTGGGAGAAAACTGTCTTTTAGCATTGGGTAAGTCTTTTGCCTTGCTCACACTACTGCTAAACTTGCCTTCCATTAAGATTCACTTTTGACATTCCTGAAATTCTAGCACAATTTGTCTGTTAAGTAGGGATTTTGTCCAATGCAAGCATAAAAGTAACTGTATTCCTGTTTAGCATTATCACTATCTTAACATTTATTTTTATTAGCATTGCATTTTTAGATCCTTCCGTAACTGCTGTAGTGTTTAACTATTTCTTGCTCTACCTCTGTGGCCAAGTTTCACAGTACAACTGCAGAGGCTTATGCTTTCTATTTCAAGTGCAGTTCTCAGCAGTGGTGCTGCTCTTACACAATGCCTGTAATACTTCTTCACTTGATTAAGAGACGAAGTTTTAGCTCTCCTGGTCATGCTCTCAGACAGCCCTGTACTAAAATCTGGAACAGTGACCTGGTGATGTCAACCAAAGGACCACTGGTTTTCTACAGAATGCAAAGCAGACCATGTGGCAAACCAAGTCCACAGACAAACAATAGCACAGATAATTCTCACTGATGAAAAATTATTATTGACATGTGAAGTAAAGGGTTCCTGCTTACACTATTCAGCTTTCAAGTTTCATAAAAAGGCAGATAATTACTTAAAAAAATGACAAAGGGAAAAGGAGGTTGCTGTCATTCCCATTTCCATGACAGAGCCATTTTTCTTTATCATGTAAACTAATGCTTGAGCTTGTTCCACACATCCTGAAATTAGTGAGAAATTCCTCCACCAGCAGCTGCAGGATATAGGGAGAAATTCTGGCTTGTGATACCAGAAAGAGTTAAATCTCAGACTGCAACCAGGGCAGCTGGAGAAGTGCAAAAGGCAGCAAACTGAACTTCATGCTCTAAACCAGCTGTTCCAAACTTAACCAGGTGCCAAGTACCACAAGAAGAGTTTGGCGAGAGCCCAGGAGGATTTCTGCAGAGGATTAAATGCCTCTTACTGCAAATCTGACCCCTTTAACTAGACACATAGCCCAATTAAAATATCACAAGAGGACATCGTAGAAAGTGGTACTTGCCAGCTCTTTCATACACCAGAACTGTCAGAGCAAATTCAACTTGTTGATTAGTATGGGACTCTTGAGATGTAGAGAATGAAAGACAACACAGTAAAACAGGCTTCTAATATCTCTTTTTAGCAGTTCCCAATGTTCTATACTAAAGAAAGCATATTTCAAAGTTGACAAGGGTACAGAGCACTTCAGCTGCCTAACCTCAGCATGTCCCAGGGCACCAGAGACAGTGTGCTTGCACAGAACCCTGTGATGGGGAGTTTGTCTCTCACCTGATGGTATTATCTGAAGAGCCGCTCACTACTAGCCTGTCTCTGTACTGCAGACATGCAATGCCTCGTTTGTGGCCATTTAAGGTGCGCACAAATTCGCAGGTACTAGTGTTCCATACCTGTGACAGGAAGGGGGGAGGGAACCACACAGAGACAAAATTATTACGAAGAGACTAACAAAAAATGGTGTCTGTATGATAAATAGATGCATCCAGAATGCTCTTAATGAAGATGCTACCATTAAGACTGGGAAAATCATCCCTCTGATGACCTGTGATTATAGCCTGCAAATCATAGCAGGTTGGGTCACTGTAAACAGAAGAATTTTGCCACACAGTATCAAATTAGCTTCCAGGTTTAGCATTTTTGGGCTATGATTTTGTTTACACACGATATAGATTCTCCTGAGGTTTAATGCTGCAGACTGGGATCATAACAGTAATACTTAAGTGTCTCCTATCCACTCACTTCCACTTTTGTCCCCATGCTGCCCTCTAACAACTGTTTAAATGACTGAACAGGTTATGGAAGTGGTCAAGTAGAAAAAGAACACAGAAAAAAATGTTCTCTTTTAGCTGCATCTGTACCTGGAACTGATTTGCCATAGGTTCTGTAAATGAGTTGTGCCAGCTCAACTGAGGAGGGACAAGTGCAAATGAGCAGGAGGAAGAACACTGCTCCTAAAGGAAGATCCTGCCAGGGGCCATCTTCCCTGTCTGGTCACTGTTCTTTGTTAATAAATACCCGAGAGCAGCAGATTAAAAGCCTCTGAAACACCTCACCTTTATAGTTCTGTCACCTGAAGCTGATACAATGTACTTGTCATCAAAGTCCACTACGTTGACGGCAGCTCGGTGCCCTACGAGCACCCTCCTCAGGGTGATGTCTGTCGGGGAGGCCATGTCCCACACGGCGATGGAGCGGTCCTTGGAGCACGTCACCATCATGCCGTTGTTGAAGCGGAGGTGCAGCACGGCCTCGCAGTGGTGGATCAGGGTATTCAGCATCTCGCCTGCATTCACGTCCCACACTCTGCAGGTTCAGATTTCAAACCAGAGAGAAGAGAGTTAACAACCTGCACTGTGAATTTTCTGCAGAGCAAGAGAGGGACAGGGAGAGGTAATTGACTCTCTAGCGATATTAGAGAAGCAAACACCACAAGTTATATCTACATCTATTAAATAGTTCATTAAAAAATGTATTAGATAAACCTGTTGATTATGTGTGCATTGAGACAGTCCGGCAGCCAAAAACCCTGCAATGCAGTTAACACGATAAAAATAATGCACCCAGGAAAAAAACATTATTTAATTAAGGGAATTTAATGCTGAGGAAAGGTAGAAGACTGATGGCCTTAAAGACTGGTGTTTCCTGGTTGTGCCAGCCTATTATACACTTCATTTCTAGCCAATGTGGAGAAGTGAGTTCCCTGACAGGCTTCATTTTTGACCTCTCTCACAGGACTATCAGCTCAAGTGGTAATTTATCCAGAAGCAGAAGATAAGACAATTCTTCTCAAACAAATACATGTAATTGTCACAAGTTGCATCATGATTTGCATTTACCCTGCAGTGTATCTGGTACACAGCTACATTCCAGGAATGCACTGAGTACCCAAATTAAGACATAGCATTTATGTCAATTTAACGTTACTGGAACCAACTGTTTCAACTGAAAGACAGTTTAAGATGCAAGTTAGACAAAAGCTTCATACAGAACTTTTAGTATTTGGAATGAAAATTTTAAGCCTCAAAAATATTCTTTTTGGGCTATTCTGTTGGCAAACTTCTTTTACCCTCCATGGAGAGATTTCTTTTGGCACTATCACACCTATATCCCAGATACACTATATGAAAGCAGAAAATGGCTGTATCATCAGGCACATCAGATCTTGCAGAAGTTACAACTTCTTGCTGCCAATAAGGCAAGCAGTAAGAAAAGGCAAGATGGGAGAAAGACTTTTAATGCCTTATTTTATACCTTATGGAAACTAAAGAGCATCAACTTATAAACTCTAAATGAGAAAAAAAACCACATTCCAATTAGAAAATGCAAAGGAGAAAAAAAACTAAAGACCTGAGCCATTAACATATGAACAGTTTGCAGACAGGGCTGCCAAACTGAACAGGAGCTGGAGACCCACTGACTTCTTTGGACAAGTGCATCCCTGAGATCTCAGAAGCATTAAGAGCCCATCTGTACTGTCTATTGGATGAAGCCTCTCTTCCTGAGGAGACCCAAGGATAAAAGTGATGCATCCTATGTGCCTCTGGGGTCTGCACAAACATTCATAGATACAGTGGGAGACAAAGTATTCCTGGGCAAGTAGCCAGTCTGCAATTTGGCCTGCCTGGCCTGCTATGGAAAATGACAGTGCTTGTTACAGAAATCAGCCTCTCCTTTTGTGATCTGTTTAGCCCAGTGCAGTTCCCACGTCATTTCGGCCAGGCAGTGTTACTGAAATTCTGGATTCCTATGAATGACAGGACCCCAAAACCTAGCAGAACTGCAAGAATGCATGCATCACATGTCAGGAAATCAATTTAATTAGCTTAACAATACTACTATTAGCTTAACAACAGTAGTTTACACAAGCACAGAGGACCTTGCAGCCATCTGAATGCATGCTAATCCCTCCAGAAAGGGCCAACAATGCAGCTTTTTGCTGTCTAACTCCACTACATGAGCAGTGCTTGTACTCTGACAAGAAGGGAGTATATAACAGCATGGAGAAGTCGACCTGCCCCTTCACATCCAAGTTCATATTACAGTTCATTAACTCATATGTGCCTCTATTTACACTACAGGTCTTACACTCTCTGGTATCCTCTAATATGACTAGTGGACTTCACAAATGCACAACATGCACCGCAAGTGCTACCTTGAGGTGTCCAGCCTTTTACTGGAGACTTGAAGGAAAGCAAGATTAGAAAGATTTAATGAAAAGAAACATTGTGCTGAAATTTAATTTCAAATCATTCATTTAATTGAAATTTAATTTCAAGTAATTAATATTTTGTTAAAATTAAATGACAACAGACAACTAAACCTTCAAACTTGCTTTGAAAACCTCAACTCTTTAGAAGTTATTCTCAAAGAGAATTTATAACATTCACATGGAGTGTTATGCAAAACCTTGGTGAAATGCCAGATGGCCTTCCTAAGTCATCTTGACCTTGACTGGCCTTGGCTTAGATTCTCATTTCTCCCTGACAGCGAGTTTCATGGAAATCTGATAAGGATAGTACAATGCTGGACAAATATGCTGAACTACTTCATTAAACTGTTTGAACAGCACACATTTAAGAAGAGATCATTTCAGCAGCTTGCAAAGCTAAAATCTTAAAAGGCAAACAGAAAGGTCCAAATCACGAGCACACACCTGACTGTTGAGTCTGAAGATCCAGTAATGATCACACGTTCATCATACTGGAGGCACAGGACAGAACCCGTGTGTCCAGTGAGAATTCGCTTGCATTCCAATGTATTCTTATCCCAGATCTAAGACAGCAAACATTCAAAACTGGTCAGTTCAGTAAGGTTTTCATCTTTCAGCACTTAGTGGTTTGACTAGACTGTTTTTCACTACGGCACATCTTCCATAGTGCATTTGGAACACCTTTAGTGGCATCTGCAGAGTCTTCTACAGGCTCTTTGGTGCAATACATTGACGTCTTTGATATTACTGGCTTTACTACGAATATTGGTTTTACCCTTCTCACTAGGATACAGGGCCCAGTAATTACATAGCCTGTAATTACTGCTGGACAGAAACTCTGCTGGTGAAGCCTGTCTGTCTGAAAACAGGGTCTCTCTAGCCAGATAAAAGAGTAGCTGCTGTGCAGGTGGGAGATGGGGGAAGAGGAAGGAGAAGGTTGGGTTACTAACAAGAGACTGGGTAGGTGTCACTAAAATTAGGACACTATTATCTATGGCATTGGCACTCCAAGCCATTAGTATGCCATGATGGAGCATTCTCACCTTAATAGTATTGTCTCGTAGGCCGCTTACTATCTTCTGATCATCATACTGTAAACAATAAACCCCTTTGCTTGTCTCACTTCGGCAGTGGATCCTCTGTAAACTGTGCCTTCCACACCGCCAGTTCGACTCTATTGTCTTGAGGAGAGACAGGAGACAAATGCAATGTAGGGGGAAAAAAACGCACAGAACTATCTCCCCTTTTTTTTTGTCTAGTTGAGAAGGCAGCAGACACTTTTGTTTAAGCTTTTTCCTGCAATCAGGCCCATACAATGACATAACTGCTTTCTAGAATATATATAATAAAACCAATTAAACAGACAAATGCTTGGAAAACATTGTGGCTAAACTGGTCTGTGTTGCTGGGAATAGTGAGGAATAAGTAACAAAAAGCCTTTTTCTATCTCCAACCTTTAGCCCCTTGTGACTCAACAGCTAAATAACTGAAGAGAAAGTCTCAGTTGAGCTCTAAATGCGTTTACAAACTTGTCACAACAGCGCCTGAGCACTGCTTCTGCTGTTAGGAAATAACCAGAACATGCCATTTTGTTCACACTAAATGCAAGGCAAACATGCTCAGCTGCTTCCTGTTTCCCCGAGTCTTAGGACTGCAGACTTCAGAAATGCATTTTCTCCCCGCCTCAGTTCTTGATATCTTCCTCTAATAGCCTATTAGGTCTCATTGCACCAAGAGGAGCAAAGTACCACGGAACAGAGAAAACCAAGATATGCTGCTGTGATATCTGATATGCAAGGTGTGGAGACTTCACTTACAAACAGCTCACTGAACAATCCAGCTCATCCTCTGTCTAAAGGAGCAGCAGGATCTTTTATAACGATCCCAGATCTACAAACTCCAGACAAACACGTCAGATTTAATGAAATATTACACTGCAACGGAATATCCCCAGAATTTCAGCATCATGAATACATCAGAAACATTTGAAAAAGAAAACAAAATTAAAAAACCAACAGTGAAACACCACCATATCTGGCAGCTGTTTCTTACCTCTATGTCTTGTATAATTTTGGGGTAAAGTGCTCTGTAGAAGGAGTTGGGTGGTGCAGTTCCATCAGGAGGTTTATTTTTAAATAGATATTGCCCCCTGGAAGATAAAGAACATTTCCATTGAACACAGATCATCTTTCAGCATTTTGAAGAAAGGTCCTCCTGGCATTTTACAAATGGATAACCACTGCTGACAGATTCATAGTCAAACTTAATTTACTAAGATGGGATGGTTCCTTGTTTGTTTGCTCTGCAACATGTCAGTGTTGCATTTTAACACTGAAATGCCCGAGAAAAATCTGTGTCTAGTAACTCGGGGAAGGGAAATAAATTCTCTATTATGGACATGGGCCCATTCAGCTCAGTAAGGGCTGACAGCAGTTCATGCTTGCAATACTCACACACATTATCAGAGGTCACCTTTAAAATAAAGCATGCAAAGCAAATGAAAAAAGGCAAGGAACCCTCAAATTCACCACACATTCAAGCCTAGCTTTTAACTGCATTAGCAGGAACAGCATCAGTTTGGGTACATGGACATTTAACTGCTACTACTCTATGTTGGTAAGCAACACCTCATCTGTGGTGCCTCCCTCATCTCAACACTGATTTGGAATACTCATATCCCAAGCTAGAGTTTTGTTACCAAAAAAATCTGTAAACGGCAATCACTGCCTGCTGTGTAAAAAACTTTAATTCCTCATCCTGAAGTTAAGAAGCCACCAAACACGGTGTGGAAGCTAGTAAACCCCACCATGGGCGTACTAACTGCTGCTCTGCCTGGCAACATGCCTCACAAAATGGAGAGAGGCACAAATGCCTCCGAGTGTAATCCTGGCATCAGAGGCACAGAGTTTACACTGGGCCAGCTCTCCACTTCTCCCTCCCTTGCTCCATTACAGCATAATTAATCGTTCAGTACTTCCTTGTGCATTTCCCATCCTTTCCACACAGTACACCTCAAAACTCATTTCAGAGAGTGTACATTAGCTGCCCTGATACATTTGAACTAGAGAGATCAAAACAACGAACCAAAATCTTTGGGTTGTAAGGCAATACCAAACTACAGAACTGCATAAGCAAAATGACAAATGCTCGGGAAAAGAACTTTTGATACTTCTTTAAATCAAGAATTCTAATACAACTAGATAGAAAGGTGCTTTAATGTTTGGACAGAGGTATTACCTCTGTTTCTTCAAATGTAATGACCAGCAGACATGCATATGGGACCAAACACATGAAGGTGGCACATATGGATGCACACAAGCTGCTAACTAGACAGATGCCTATTTACTGTGATCCAGCCTGGAAGTGCATTCATGAAAATTAGCATTTCTGGCCAAGGACGACAAAAACTTCTTTCAAGATGCACAGAATACCTCGGAGACATCCTGGTAGACTTGGGGCAGGTCTAGAAAAAACTGCGTACAAGCTTATGTGCCTAAAAACCTTTTTATTCTTTCTGACTTTATTAGCTAATGTAACACAAAGTCTGGTTGCTACCTGTAAGTTGTGCCCTGCTGCATGTATAGTCAGTTGTTTACTGTTCAGCTGAAGGATTGCTTGGAATTTCCATGGCATCCCAGTAGTTGCTGTGCTGTGGCTTTGGGCTAAAAGGAACTATTGTTTGCAGGTTTTGATGACCAGCCAATTCAATCAGATGGACAAAAGCATGCCCAGATTTTGGGCTTCTGTTTTATATTTCTCTAAATCTGTGTAACCCTTACTGCTCCCTGACAATCTGCCCATGGAAGCTGCCGTGCTGCAGAAGGGGGGTGGGGGTGGGAGGGGCTGGTTCTGTTGTAAACCATGAGCTGCAAATGCTGAAATCAGGCAGCTCATGTGCAAATTGAGGAGCTGTAAGCAAATAACACCAGCTATCATTCTGAATTGTCCAGTTAGTAACCTCCTTGTGCCATGCACACAGATAGCACTGATTACAAGCTATGAAGTTCTATATGGCAGAGATGCAATTGCACGGCTTATTTCCTGTCTGCATCTCCTAACCACACGGTTCTATCTGTTCATCACAGGGATAACCAGAGGGCAATCTGAAAGACTTAGGCACAACTTGCTCTTGTGTCAAAGTAACCTCCAGCACATAGCACAAACCTGAAGAAGAGGTGCAGTAACAGGGTGACTGTCCTTGAGATGAGAAGCAAAATTTTGCACCTGTCTTTTAGAAATGTCATGTGTCTGTATGACCAGTATTTGGTGCTAATGTTATTTCTAAAGTGTGGAGGGAGCAAACTCCAGTGATGCCTTGGCAGAAGACACTCAGCTGATTACACCATGCTCCAAGAATGGAGTAATTGGGAAAAGTCTAAAGAGAGAAAACCGAAAATAGTAAGAGGACAAGACAACACATCATTATGGTTGGCTAGGGCAGCTAAAACATAGGAAACATGGTCATCTTCCAACATGGAAAAGATTACTGCAAAAAGGAGAATGAGAAACTGTCCTGTTTAATTGTGTAGGTTAAATGGAACAAACCAAACTGTAGCTAGGAAGACAGCCTAGATATCAGGAAAACCTCTCAAACACTGAATTTAGAAAGAGTGAAAAAGTGAAACCATTGAATTTCTTTTCCCAGGCATTGCTTGGGGAATCTCCATCAGTAGAGGATTTTAAGAACAAGTTAAGAAAAAGATTTGGGATAACTTAAGGAAAACCTGTCTCTTCCTATGGAAAACAGAAAAGACTAAATGACCTCTCAAGCTCCTCTTAAGACTTACTGTGACTTCAACTGTAGGGAGAAAAAAATGGAAGTCCTGGAGAGAATAAGGTATTAAAAGAAACGTAAAAGTTACCACTGCCATGCTTTTGTTTCTTTTACACTCTTTAGAAACACTGCACTCTCGGAAGCAGATCAAAGTAGTATTTATTTTTAAAGTATGTCTCATAATCCTGATTTACTTGCCTTTACTTCCTGAGACCAACAGTATAACAAAATTAACCATAAACCAGGAGTCTTTGTTTGCAACTCTGTATCTTTTTCTTTTTAATAGCAACCAAAATGCCTGAGCTGTCACTTTTATCTTGTTTATGAAATATTCATACCCAGTTTCCCTTCTGCCAACATCCTAGGGACACCCTTGGAAAAGAAAATTATGTATTAAAGGGTGTACCCCTGAGAGAGAAAGTTCTAATGAAATGTTAGCAGAGCAGCTTCAAACTTGAGTGAGACCTACATTGTAGTACGGCTATTCCAGATGATTATTAACTAATCTATCTGCATTTCTAAAGTCCCCTATTCTCCATGGTACCTACCCTCAGCTTCCAGTTTGAAAATTAAACAGATATCTAATAGTGAAAATCTGCTGAGGAAAACAAACGGACCTATCAGGAAAGAACTAATTCATAGCACATGCTCCCCCACTGCCACTCCCGAAAAAGCTTTTCTGCTCTGAACTGCTGACCGGTTTAGGGTTCCCCTGAGGCACACACAGCTTCTTAATTTGAACTGAAAGACAGCTGGGTGTCTGTATATCTCAGTCTGTATATCTCACTTGTCACAGTGGGATAAGAGCGTGATTAGAAGAGGAAGTTGAGGAAAAAATCCCCCATGTTGCCACATAGCCAAATGCGGCAACTAATTCCCCAATGGCTGATTTTTGGTGTAAGCAACTGTCAGGTTTGGAAGCAACATGATGTTTCAGTGCTGAATAATCTTCTTCAAATATGGTTTGAAACACACAACCCCTACTGTCCTGAATGGGGGCAAAAGAGGTGAAGATTCAGTTTCCTTACCATCCTCTCCTCTCTGACAATCCCCTCCACAGGGAGTCTGTCCTGACCATTCTCTCAATGAGTTTCTTCCACAGCATCCCATCCGACGTCACCCGGTACCACTCCTTGCACACCAGCTCAGCAGCACACAGAGATTTGGCATCCAGGTATGACAGAATGTTCTCAGCAATGTGATCCAATCCCCGAGCTGGGGGAGAACAACAACAACAGAAAAACATTATTTGCTGGACAGACAACTCCCCCTGCTAGTACAAAGATGCATTCTCCTTCCATCTCCTCTTCTGCACGAGGAGCTGGACAAAATGCACAGAAGAGCATTTGAGGCTAAGTTCAGGAGTGAGCAGTGTTATCCAACTTCCTTTGGATATAGCACAACAAGTCATTAAAAATAATAAAGAATCCAAGAAGTCATTCCAATCTACTTCGATGGGTTTTAGCACTAGGGGGATATTCTATGGATGGCATTTCCAACTCAGCAACGCAGCCCCCAAAATCTCTCTATATTAGGACCATTTCTCATCTCACTGCTACAGCTGTTCTCATGTTGCAATGGCTCAAAAGCTGTTTTTGCTAAAGCAGTAGCTTTTAAATGTAATGAAGAAAAAAATATATATTCCCAATGTGTGCCCTGAAGAGTAGTGGTACCTTTAGACAGGGGGGAGGGAAGGATATGCAGATGTACAGGGACGTCAAGAGGGAAGGAGAAGCTGTGTAAGGAGAAGTGAAGCAGGTTTGCTAGTTTCATTTATTTTAGTGGGTGAAGGAAAAATATGCACCAAAATAGTACCATCAGCAAGTATTTCCCAGTGTGAATACCAGGACTGGCTTTACTTCAGCATGACTGGAATTAAATGTAAAGCAATTGCTTGGTTGGCACCAAGCAGCTCAATGTAATGTCTGTGCAGGGAAGGTTACGCTATGTTTCTTAACTGGATGGGTGTAGTCAGTAAAAACGTGCCCTTACCAACTCAAATTTAATCACAATCAAGACTTCAGGAAAACAAGATGCCTCTTAAATGACAAAGCTTACAGCTTCTCTTGGAGGCTGTTTAATTCACAAGTGAGACACACCAGGAGATTATCCCACTTCACAGGTTAAATTTCCTATGCTTTGTGGAAGTTTAGACCACATCATCCCTCAGGCATCATGTCCAGTCCAACCAAAAATGAAGCATGGCAGATTGGTATTAGATGCATTTTCCCTCAGCTTCACATTTGGGACAAAGTTAAATACATGTCTTTTTGTTTTTAAAACAACAGCCTCAAAGACCAGGCCCTGCTTGTGAGAGGGTAGGAAAAGGCAGTAAGTACATTTTTACAGTCACATGTCTGGACTTTTGCAAACCCAAACTGGGTACAACCAGCTGACTTTGATTAGAGTTCATGACACAAAATGGCCCAACCTTTTCTTTCTTAATGAAAAGATCTCAAAAGGATCTCTCATTGCATGAAAATGAGACAATTCAGCATGCGTCCTCCTGCTGCTTTCAAATATACTAAACTTAGAATACACTTTGGGTCAGACATTCTGCTCAGCATTTTATGCTTCAATCTTTTTGTAAAAAAAGCATGTGAATGATACCAGACACAACCAGAGAGTGGAGAAAGAGGTCTGACATTTGTTATCTTTAGAGATGCAAAATTAGATGTCAACCTGCAAAATAAAAGCATCATCAGCCTTTATTATGTACTTAATCTGAAAAGATATGTACAACCACTATTTAAAAAAAGTGTTTGCAAATTTCGATTGACTCCATAGCAAATTGTGGAAAGAGGGAGACAACAGTTTATTGAATGTGAACAGGAATTTGCAGGAATTCCACAACAGGCAGGGTAGATATGGACATCCTGTTCCCTGTTCCTGAAGATTTGTGTGGAAATGACAGATTTCCCAGTCTGTGCTGCTTCCAGTGGGCTCACAGACATTTACAGACCCACCAGGACACTTAAGAATGCCTGCCTCCATGGAATCTTTACAGGTGGCTTTACGTCAGCAGTGTCACCTGATGAATTAATTTTATATATGGGGAACAACTCGTGGTTTTAGGAAGCAGGGCTACTGCAACACCTGGGCACAGTAATCTTCACCCATGTGTCCCTTCTACTTCATCAGGAGTTGCACTTTAGATCCTGGCTGCAATAAGTCATCCTTTGCCATCTATACTAGACCCTTTGCAGCAAAAGAATACTAATGTTTTGGCCTCCCCTCCTCACATTTATGGTAAGTGGATGGGCAGAGCTGTTCTGGCCTAGTTGCAATATCAATTTTATTATTTTGTTTCTTAGGAACAGCACAACTCACTGAGGCATGTATCTAACAAAGCACTGCATCCTTAAAAAGGGAAAACTCTGCTCACAGAAGATTTTGCTAAATGGATGTGAAACACGATTAGCCCTTCAACCCTCTGAACCAACAAGAATGTTTCAGCTATTTCACACATGAAATCCTTATCAAAATTACTTCCCTCATAAAAAATGTTAAATAGCTTGAAAATGCTAAGCAGAAACCTTATTTTTTTCAGAAACTGAACAAATTTTGTTAAGTACACTGTTAAGCTGTATTTTTCAAACAATCTTAATTCTGTTCATAGAACTGGGAAAATAATCTGAGCCAACTTTACTGTATCTTGGTAACACACGCCCATGATCTAAAATGACCTTAAATTCTGGTCATTCCTTGGGACTGTGCTAGGAGGACAGAGATAAGATGCCTCATGATTTTGAAGTAGCTTTATTGTTTTATTCACTCAAGGGGGAGAGCAGGAGAGAGAATGAAGTAGTAAAAATGAAACCAGAGTACTTAACACTTGAGAATTTCAGAAAGTTAAAAAATACTTACAGAGTTTAGGGGTTTTCTTTCATTATATGACTTAATTTAGAATTTTGGGTTCATCAATTTTTCCTAGGCAGTTTCTTACCTTCCTCCCTTCCCATTCCCTTCACTAGAACCTGCTTATACTTAGGACATCCTGCACAGAATGCAGAGTCTGCACCAGTGTAATTCCTTGCTATTAATTTTCTCCCTCAGAGCAATATTCACTAGGACATTTGCACTTTGTAAATATGCAAATTGATGCACATGCATTATTTACGGACACATTTCCCCCAACCATTAAAATACTCACATATTAGCTGCTTGATTCCTATTTATTCTGCATTCTGGTAAGAGTAAAATCATCTGCTTCCTGGGCAACTATGACTGGACCAGTAACAAGTATGGTATGGCAAGCAAATTTGGAATGTCTCTACAAGTATTTATAGCACCTGCCCAAAATTCTCAGAAAAAGCCCTGTAGGAAGAAATTAACCAAGTACAGAGAGACGTCTTGATTTTGTGGGGTGCTTTCATGGGGCTCTTTGGAGAAAGACCTGGAAAAATTGTGTAAGCATCTACATGTATACTTCCACTTATGAAATGGAGAAACCAATGCAGTTTCCAAACACTTCCTATTTTTCTGAAACAGAGCAGCTCCACAAGTATGCTGCTCTAAGTACAAGAAGATTATTGCCACTGGACTACTAAAAACTAACATAAAGCAGGTACTTAGCATAACTAAGATTTTTTTTTAATGCTACAACAGCCATTTGATTACTGGGCACAATGAGCTTAAAATCTAATGAGTCTACCTATTTAACTTCCTAGCAAAACTCCTGCAGTGCCTTTATGCTTTATATAATTCACAGTTAAACATACTTTTTTCCGTCTTTTAAGGCTAGAATTTATATTTCATGTTGAGAAGTCCCTTCTGAAGAATGATCAAATGACTGGATAGATCAAATTGCCAAAAGTTCAGCACTTCTCCAAAGGTATACACAGAATAAGCTTTTGTCAAGAAACACCTCTCTTCAACTGGCTGTTTAGAGACAACACCTGTACCACTTCTCGCTCAGGTCTCTCTCAGACTAAGGACCTATGGCATGGGAATGCTCATATTTTAAGTATCTACCTGTTTATGTATCTACAGAGGTATGATCTAATGGTCTGAAAAAATATGAGCTAAAGAGCCAGGAATTTCTGTTTAGTTCTGAAACTCTATTGCTGTATATATCTGATCTCTCACCACCTTAGTTTTTCCCATCTATAAGACAGGGCTGATATAAAACTGCATGTACACTACTTTATGTGTGCATTTTGTGAGATCTGCCCAGTGCCACATCTGAGAATATCTGGGATACTATTTTCAATGGAAAGCATTACAAAGGTGTAAAAACCAGAACACTTCCATCCTTTGCTCTTATACCCTCCATTTTCTATTAGCAATTAACACATAATCAAGGCAATGGCTTTAGGAAGTTATTTCAGTAGGAAAGAGAGACAAATATCTAAATAAGAAAAGGGAAAATCTCAGCTGAGCAACCAGAAAGAATAGTAGTTTTAATTTTAAAATTTTTCGTTATTCATGCATTGTTGTGGGCATTAAGAGCGCAACTACTTGCCCTGTGGCTTGGGATAACTACCCTTACAATATACACAGATTAGCTATAATTTACTCCTAGATAAACCATGATGGTGTTAGACCATGCCTTGACATGCAGTAGGAACACAAATTAAAATACTATGACATTTCATGGTGGTATAGAGCTTTTCATTCAAAAGCTATTATCTGTTTTGCAAACTGACCCTACAAGAGACCTCTCCAGCAGGGTAGGGTGGAACAGAATAGTTTTTTGAAAGACAGGATCAAGCTCCCTCTGCCTGCAGAAATACCTGGCAGTGCAGTGATGAAGTCCCGCTGTAACATGGGTTTGAGGTATGAGTTTATGTGTCCGTGCTGGTAGTGACACATCTGGGAGATGAGGTGCTCCACAAACTCCACCTGGTCAGACTCGGACCATTGTTCAAAGTACTTGACGCAGAGCTCCTTCTCCTTCTCATAGCTCGCAGACAGTTTCCTTTGCTTGGGCACAATCATACTGGAAGTGCCATTGGCAAGTTTTGTCTGTAAACAGGAAGGAGAGGAACAACCCAAATAACACATATGAGAAGAAACACAAGCAGTTGTACAATTTGTTTTAGGGGACAGACAACAGAATGCAAAAAGCACTCTGCCACATGAAAGCTGTCAGAGCACACATCCCGGCTGGTGCCATCAGCCCAAGCGCAGCCTGCAGGACAATGCACTGGCTCGTGCCAGAGCTGCACACAAAGGACTCTGGTCAGATGGGAAACCTTCAGCAACAGTTTAACATAAACGCAATTTTATTTAACATGTCGACAGTAAAATGCATTTGGATTCCTAATGTACATATACCAGTTACTTCAATACACCTACACTAAATTGCATTTGTACTCTGGTGGTTTTTTTTCTTCTGAAGAATGGATTGCTGCTAAAATTCATCGGGAATGCATAAAATGGATGAAAAAAATTGAATTATACCTCAAGAGCAAAGCCAGCTAAAATACACCCTGACATTTGGTAAATAGTTCTTTCACAGAGTAAAATATTTTCAACTTTCTGATCACTGTTAATATCTTGTCAGAAGGAGTCAGCTCAAAGAAGAGTTTCAGGGACAAAACAAAACACTGACATTTCAATTTACTACTTGATAGTAAGATATAAATTCTGCTTTCTAAATGATTTAACTGTAAGAAAAGTGTGCATTTTTCATTGCAAGGGTATCCTTTGTCAAAGTAAGATGAACCATTTGCTGGAAAATTATCTTTTCTTATGCTGGCCAAATAGTTTCTATTTCCTGCTGAAAACATGTGATTTTTACTCTTTCATTTTAACAGTTTAACACCAGACAGCATTATAATAATAGTCAATATTATTACATCACTTTTATTGTCAAAATACATGCAGAGGTTCTTCATTAATTATCAAATAATTAAAAATAACTGACAGAGATAACACATAAAACACTGAGAAAGGGATGACATATTTTTGTTCTATGATGATAATTCCAAGCACCAAGCTTGCCAGGGGCCCTTATTAAATTAAAGGGAAAAAATGAATCCCTAAATCTCTCTGCAAAGATATCTAATGAACTAAAAGAAATGCAATGATTAATTGATTTTACGGGAAAAGGAAGAACAACAAAAAACCCTCTTTTCACCAAGTGCCAAATCAGCAGGCTATTTAGAGACCACAAAATTTAGTTACCAGTAGTAGATTTGGAATGCAGGAGTTTCCCATTTCTTGGGAATAATACCTCCCAATCCCAACAGGAATCCTGACTTTGGAACACCAAAATTTCATAATTTAAAATTTTACTTAACTGATCACCATATACATTTAATTTTCTTAGAGATAATGCACCTAAATAAGCTTTCCAACATTTCTAGAGAGCTGGACCTTCTTTTGGTAGAAAAAGACAGTAAAGAGCTGTGATTTTTACCAAGCAGCTTTCTTCTCCTTCTGTATTGTAGTTTGACTTAAGTTGCTTTGAGAACACAGAACATGGTGATCACACCATCAGTGCTCCATTCTGCAGCTCAATGTTTTCAAGTTTATCCCTGCTCCTCCCTGCAAATGTGTGGCTGTGGCTGTGTGTGGCTGTGTCCAGTAAGATCATGCAAGACAAGGACAGTGAGCTACAATTTCATTCAATCCTCACATGGACAGCACTGACTGCAAACAAGTCACAGAGCCAGTACTGGGCAGTGGGAAAGAAAAACTCTCTCTTGGGCCAAGAGAAATACCAAAGAGACTGTGGGCATCAAGTCCTGTGTGTGAAAGACTAGACGTTTTCTAGCAAAGTCCACACTAGTTAAGGGCCTGGCAAAAGATGATTACCAGTGGAGTGAACTGAACACCCGTGTTAAGGGATTCTGGTAATTTTTGCTGCAGTTAAACTGCCTGCAATACAGGCATCCCAGTAAAAATGCTGGATTAAGCCAGTGAGGAGATGTTGTAACCTACAAGTTTGATCTCATTTAATTTTTCATTTTGTTTGCTGTGCATCTTAAAAAAAAAAAGGTTGTCTCTACAAAGCATTTTTTAACAGCCTAAGTATCTTTTAATTTGAGAGACTCTGAAGTCTGACTGAGACTGACTCTGCTGAGCCTGAGTGAGCGTACAGCTGATGTGCAAAGCTGATGAAGGTGCAGCTCCTTTCACAGGGTGGCACCATGTTCTGGCCTTTCCTTGCCTTCTGAACACCCTTCTCCCAGCAGCCTTCAACTCCCCAGTTACTTCTAAAACATCGGTTTATGGTATCAAACAGAAGTTGCAACATCTGCAAATACAAGTCATGGCTTATGTGTGTACAAATAGATGGCTTAGATGGGACAAAACAATTCATTCTGCCTGAACACAGGCTTCTTGGAAAGGAATAATGAGTAAATGAAAGAATTCATTGACCAGCACTTTTAACAGCTCTGGAAGTGAAACTCCAGATTTATAAAGTGGTTCTGCTAAGAAAAGCATGTTACAGTGTTTACATCCAAATTAGTGGATGTGAGAACACCATATATTTTAGGTTCATACTTCAGCTGCATTCTTATTATATCAGCTTGAGACCTGGTTTGCATCCTTGCCTGCTCTGGTTTCACACCAAAAGGAGTGAGCAGAAGCCCAGAGGTGTGCCTAGCAGGTCCTATGGTTTGTGCCAGCAGGGGACCAAGCATGAACACACCAAAGTAGAGACAGGTAAACTGACAGGGCTCTCAAATCACTCAAACTACAGTTTAGAACAAAAGCTCCAGAATTTTAATTTAAAGATTCCTGAAAATCCATGGGCAGTTCAGTGAAAAAGTCATCTATAGCCTTTTCCCCCTCTTGATACAATAATCAGGCCTCACCTGAAAAAGAAAAACCTGTTTCACTTGCCATCCACACTGCTAGGGTAAATATCCATCCCAATGCACTGTACACATTTTCTATAAGCTTTACTTCCAAAAATGGCAAAGAAGAATAAGCACTGGCAGTTCATCATCTGGGAGGAAATTTGGGTATAACAGAGCAAACTACTAAATTGGAACAGATGAAGCTTTACCAATTCCCTTTTCACAAAGGCCTGTATGTGAGGGCTGAGAGGTGCCCCAGCTGGCCCTGGGCACCATGACTCATCTGCAGGAATGGCAGAGGTGTCCTCTGACAATGCTGAGCTGAGCTCATAAGCTGTGCCAGGAGACCCAGGGGATTGAGCGCCTCAGGTTGGTACTAACTCAGGGATCTACGTACCATGCTCCAGTGCAGCCCATAATTACAAGACCATTTCTCCAAATGGCTACATTTAACACAAAGCACATTTGTATGCCCAGTGAAGTAGAAGAGGACTAATATATGAGAGGACTTTAATCTAAATAATGGCTTGCAACTGTAGGAAGGTGTAATATTTCAACACAGATAAATAAAGACTGGGTAAATCTACTGCTTTGCATATAAACAAACCAGCTATGGTAAATCACAGCTGTAACCCATATATGACAACCAAGGTTACTTTTGGTTTTGTTCAGTACAGGGGACCAAGGAGCCTCCTAAAGCACAGAAAAAAACCAAAACCAAGCAACTTCCCTGACTGTAGTACAGTAATAGTATTTAACCACCAATACGAGTGGTCACAACTTTTATACACTTCTTAAAGAGATTACATCCTCTAGTCATTGCAGAGGACTTTGTTCAACTGGGCAGATGAGTTCAGGTTTTGTGTTTCTCAATGCAAAGAAGACATCTCTTAAAGTCAAGGAGAAACTGTCTCCTAGAATATTAAGAATGGCTTAAATGATCCCAGCAAGGTTTGGGACCTTCTGAACCTTCAAGACATCTTCATGCTGAAGCTCTGAAAATACCAAGAGCTTAGACCACCATTGCAAATGTCAGTTTCTCCCTAGATAAAAAGAAAGGTCTTCTCTTCCACGGTGTTCTCTTCACGTTCCAGTACCAACAGGTCATACTGGGCTTCTTTCCTCCTTCCTGGACTCACTGGGACTACAGGCTCTGACACAGACAAATGTCATTTACTGCTTGTCTGCAACTGCAGCATTTCACCTCCAACTGCTTGCACTGCCCGTTGTGGTTAAGTCACTGATCTAGACAGAGCCACCTTAACAGGAATTTCAGATGGGTCTTAGTGAAGGGGAGGAAAAAAGAGGACATAATGTTTAATTATAAGAAATGATTGAAATAGGCACAGACATACCCCGGGTGCCTCTGCACTGCAGCAAGCTCTAAACTTGTTATCGTTAATGGTTTAAATTTCACTGTGCTAATCATTTCAGGACACAAGCCTTTCTTGATAATCTAATGAATTATTCCAACATCCTTCAGCAAAAAAAATCCTCCATGACAGCACTAATTACAAGACGTTTTCCCAGTGCTTATGTAAAATATGACAGAGCAGCAGCTTAGGGAATTGCAGAAAACTGCTTCTAATTTCCACTGAGAAACTGACAAACACCTCTCTTTCATCTCTCCCAGCTCTCAAGTAAGATTTAACTTTCTCATTTAGTTAATTACCGAGTGAGGATCATCATTTTCCCGGATCGGAGCGGCACAGAGCCTTTATCGTGTTAACTTGTGAACTTGATCGATGGCTGCTGCTAAAACTTAATAACTTCACCCCCTGGCAAATTGTAAGATAAATATAATAGGAGAAACTCTGACAGTAAAAACCTGCCAGAAATGAGCGCTGTGTTTATGTTTCTTTGCAGGCAGCAAAAAAACAACCGACAGCTTATTACTGGGTGCGTGTTACTTATATTTAAAAGACTCCAGGCAGTTAACTTTCTGCGTACTGTTCAAACTTTACTCACAAGATAAAATACACTGGGGAAAAAAACCCAAGCAATGGAATGACAAAGAAAGGAACCACAGAGGTGTATGTCCAGGGGCCAGGGAAGGTGGGGAAAGACAGGAACTTCACAATGGAAGCAAAGCCATGCTTGCCTCTCTATCCTGAATATTCTTCAAGACTGACCACATTAAAAATGCCCTGAGCTATGAATCCAAACAGGAAACTATTTTCACCAGCAGCAAAAGCTCAGGAATTCTGGATC